ACACACACACACACACACACACACACACACACACACACACGGTAATAAATAAAATACAGTGAAGTTAAAATAACATGAACTAGGGAAGCAGAATAGAGCTTGCTGAAAGGGTTTTGGCTCACCCAGCCTTCTCTTCTCAGCCAAAGAAGCAAGCTCTTTCTACTGGCTTAGAGAGAGACATCGCCAGCTGGCCGGGCAGTAACACATGGGAAATTGAAGACAGCCCTGTAATTAAGTTCACGAGAGGCCGATTCTTCTGGCCATATTTCAAACACCCGTAATGTCTTCTCATCTATTCTACCCAAACAACTTTACTTCATAATATATTCAGAGCGGGAGAAAAAATATATATGTAATGGATTCTTCTGAGATATTCAATTAGTTCAATAAAAAGAGAAAAATAATTTTTCAACAGAGAAATTTAGCCAAATGGCCAAAGCTGACGGTGAAAAACTGGCTGGGAAGTAATTATGCATTTCTTTGGAGTTGTTGTCCTAACAAAAGTTGGCGATGTGCCCCTCCCCCCCACACCATGATTGATCACACACGTTCCTATTCCATGCGGATTTGTCCGAATGTTCATTCTGCATCCACCTTTGGGTGCTGACACATTTCAATTCATTCCCAGCAGTTCAGGAAAGGCTCTCTATTCCACTGCTCAGAACTCGCTCTTCACCTCCCTTCAAGCTGATTTCTTCCCCATTGATGGAAAACAAAACAAGACAAAGCAGGACATGCCTGGAACATTCTCCTTGCATGATCCCATTGCTGCTTCTTATTTATTTTGGACGTGGGACTTCATTTTGATTTTGGTTTCTTTTGCTTATGGATGGGGGCTGTTGGAGCAGGTCTTAGTTTGTAGCCCAGGCTTGTCTCAGACTTACCATGTGTACAGGCTGGTTTTATGTCCATTAGACACAAGCTAGAGTCAGCTGAGTGGACAGAAACTCAACCGAGAAAATGCCTTTATCAGATTGGCCTGAGGGAGAGCCTGTGGTAAATTTTTTTTTGGATGGTTGATGATTGTTGTTGAAGAGTCCAACCCATTGTGGATGGTGTCACCCCTAGGAGCTATAAGAGAGCAAGCTGAGCAAGCCATGGGGGACAAGCCAGTAAGCACCGTACTTCCATGACCTCTGCATCAACTCCTGCCTCCAGCATCCAGCCCTGACTTCCCTCAGTGATGGACTGTAACTAGAAAATGAAATAACCCTTTCCTTCCCAAGTTGGTTTTCATCATAGTGGATTTTTTTTTTGCTTTGTTTTGTATTGTTTATTAGAATTTATTCACTTCGTATCCCAGCTATAGCCCCCTCCATCATCCCTCCCAATCACACCCTCCCTCCCTTTTCTCCTCCCCAAGTCCACTGATAGGGAAGGTCCTCCTCTCCTTCCATCTGATCCTAGCCCATTAGATCTCATCAGGACTGGCTGCATTGTCATCCTCTGTGGCCTGGTAAGGTTGCTCCCCCATCAGAGGGAGGTGATCAAAGAAAGGGCCAGCCACTGAGTTCATGTCAGAGACAGACCCTGTCTGTTCCCCTTACTAGGGGACCCACTTGGACACTGAGCTGCCATGGGCTACATCTGTGCAGGGGTTCTAGGTTATTTCCATGAATGGTCGGTCATTGGTTGAAGTATCAGTCTCAGAAAAAACCCCTGTGCCCAGATTTTTTGGTTCCGTTGCTCTTCTTGTGGAACTCCTGTCCCCTCCAGGTCTTTCATCTCCCCCTTCTTTCCTAAGATTCCCTGGGTCATGGTGCTTTGTCACAGCATTAGAAACCCTAATTGAGACACCATGATCCTCCTGCCTCAGCCTCCCTGATCATTTTCTTATCTTGCAGTTCACCTGCCCTACGTTTTCTCTAAAGCTGCCATCTGTATTTAAGCTTCAGGAGTCTTACAGTCAGCCCTCTAGCATTCTAATTTTCCAGAAAGGTCTCCAACTCAGCTCGACCATTTCTTCTGAGTCCTATATGTCTGTCTGCACATAGAGTCTGAGGGGCCATTAGCACAAACATAGCTGGTCCTGTGGTCCCTTAGAAGCCTTTGCTGTTCCTCTGATGGCCTCCTCTGAGCCCCTAGTCACCAAAACAAGACATTTTCCCTGTGCAAACTGCCCATATCATGCGTAGTCTCCTCTGTGGAGACTCCTGCCAACAGCACCCAGCATCAACTATACACAAAGCTGTGTATTTTCTATCAATGAGTTGAATCACATTATTCCACAACCCCCTTCTTTAAAAATCATTTCTCTTTTTGTCTTTCATCTGCCTATATCTCTCCATTGTGTATGTATGGTGCCCAGAGAGGCCAGAAGAGGGTGACAGATCCCTTAAAATGGAGTTATAGACTCTCCAGCTACTATGTGGGTGCTGGGAATAGAACCTGGGTGTTCTGGAGAGCAGCTAGGCTCTTAACCACTGGGTCATCTCTCCAGCCTCACAGCTCCCTTTTAAAATATCTGGTGGTAGTCAGGGGAGATGGCTGAGAGGTTAAAGGCACTTGCCGCCAGGTCTAATGATCTGACTTCAATGCCTGGGACCCACAGGGTAAAAGGAGGGAAACGAATCCCCAAGCTGTCTTCTGACCTGCACAAGTACACAGCCATGTACACACACACACACGCACGCACGCACGCACGCACGCATGCACATACACATGAACACACATACTCACAGAGTATAATAAAAAATATTTTAACTAATTGCATCAAGCCACCATCATTTGGAGACCATCAGTAAAGTACTGTGATTTAGGTGCATCTGATCCCTATGGGAACAGAGGAAATGCACATGCTTACAATTCGTAGCCTACAAATTAGCTCTGACTTTTCTAAGTGACCACTGGTGACGTGCGTCTATAATCCCAGCACTCAGAAGGGTGAGGCAGGAGGATTGTCACTTCAGAAGGCCAGCCTGAATGACAGATCAAGACACTGTCTCCAAAACCCAAGGGCTGGGGAGATGTGACGCATTTGCAAAGCACTTGCCTATTGTGTGTGGCTGCTCACACGTGCATGATTCCAGCACTCAGGAGGCTGAGGCAGGAGGATCAGTTTCAAGGACAGCCCAGGCAAAAGTGTCCTCTTTTACAGAGTTGAAACCGTTACTGAATAATGAACACAAAAGGCACCAGGAACAGCTCACAGACAGTGACCTGGTAGACTGAGGTCCCAGCTCCCCCAGCGGCTCACTGATGCCTCCTTTTCCCACAGGCAACCCTCCGGCAACGGGCACCGGGACCCTGCTGATAACCCTGGAGGATGTAAATGACAACGCTCCCATCATTTACCCAACGGTGGCTGAAGTCTGTGATGATGCCAAAAATCTCAGTGTGGTCATTCTGGGAGCTTCCGACAAGGACCTTCACCCCAATACAGACCCCTTCAAGTTCGAGATCCATAAACAGACCGTCCCTGATAAAGTCTGGAAGATCTCCAAAATCAACAGTAAGTCAGCGACCACAAACGGCCAACCTTTGTTCAGTCCGCTTTGAACTTCTCTTCTCCTTCCTCAAAGATTCTCCCACTCCCACGCAGCTTCCCACAGGGAGGTTCTGTGTGTGTGTGTGTGTGTGTGTGTGTGTGTCTGTGTGTGTGTGTCTGTGTGTTTTTATGTGTGTATCAATGTGTGTGTGTCTGTGTGTGTGTTTATGTGTATATATATATATATATATATATATATATACTCATATACATATATATATGTGTGTGTGTGTGCGTGCTGAGTTTTCTGACCAGGGTGAGGATACCATCTGTAGATATACTGACTGTCAGTTTCTTACAGGCACAAGCGTGGCTGCTCTGCCTTCTGTTTCCTTCCTTTCTCTCTTCTTCACCTGAGGTGGTGTGCTGTCAACTCTAGTGACAACTGTGACCCCAGCATTCCCTGGGCAAATCAGCGCTCCTTGTGTTTCTGCTGGAGTGTCCAGTTAGAAGCTGGTTCTTTGTCCTTTCTCCTCCCTTTTCACTCTAGTTAAACATCACAGGACTAGACAGACAGACAGACAGACAAGACAGGCAGATATATGATTGATTGATGTTAGATAAATAGATACATACATACATAGAGATACTCACAGGACTAGTCACCAAGAGAAATGGCTTGGTGACTAAGAGTACTTCCCGCTCTTTTAAAGGACTCAAAATTCAGTTCCCATCACCCATGTCAAGTGTCTCACAGCTACCGAAAACTCCTGCTTCAAGGCAACTGATACCTCTCCTGCCTCTGAGAGCACCTGCACACATCTTCTCAGGGTGTGGGAACTCCAGGCATATGCCACAACTGTCCACTCCCATACATTCTTTCTTTGCAACTGACTTGTGCTGAGCAGCGGCCTTGGCAAGCCTGGGCTTCCTGCTTCCCAAGCCTCTCCTGGCTCTGCTGTCTCATCTCTGGTGGGGGCTCTGTTCCCACTGACTCTCAGCAGTGCTTTGCAAGAAGGTCTCTGGACCTTTTCCTTCCATTAGCTGTTAGAGCAGGTGGTGTCTCAGTACGTTCATAAAGCCCCAGCCCTCCATTGCATGCCACAGACCTCCTCCTGCTTGACCCAGCCTTGCTGGTGGCCTTGGCGTTCATCATTGGCTTTGATTCTATTACCATGGGCCCTCTCTCAAGATGACTGTCACAGGCAGCCTCTCTTTCTCCCTTCCTTCCCACGTGGGTGGGTAGAATTGAAAACGAGACATAACATTGATACCGGCCTTCCTGATTCTGTAGTACCCTTCATTCCTGATGTCCCACTCACTTTCCTCCTCAGTGTGAACTGAGTCTGCCTAATATTTGGTAATGATCTTATACTGCTGTAAATGTCACTGTTAGGCCCAGCATGAGCCTAATTTCCAGAGGGATGAAGAGAACTCAGGAGATGGATCTCATCGATGCAAAATCGCAAGAGGTTTATTTTAACCATTGCGCAATGGGGTCACCCCTGCCGGTCAGCAAAGACAAAGGCTTTAGGTTTTTAAAAGACAAAGTGCGGGTAAATTTGAAGTTGCAGTTTTGGCAAATTAGGATTGGATGAGGAAGCTATAAAATAAGATAATTGGTTAGTCTTAGGTGCTCAAGCTTGGCCAGTCCTGCCAAGTGTGGATGCAGCTGCAATTGAAGGTGGGGATAATTAGCTCATCCTTGAAGATTGGGGCTGCAGGATTTTGGCCAGAGGTCAGGGGCTACTCAGAAGGAGGACTGAGGCCATCTGGGTTGGTTGCCAAGAAACACTATCTCGAAGATAAGGGTCTGGTCATTCTTTTTGCTCACTTTTTTATATCTGTCCTTACAGATGGCCAGGGTCACATTCCTCCAGTCTCTGGAAAGCTACTAAGAGGCGTTAGCTTAACCTGGGCCTAAAACTCAAAACTATAGGCTTTAGAAGACATATAGGTTACAAAGTTAGTCTGATCCTTTCATCACCAGAATTCACTTTTGCTCCAGTTATAGGATGGGGCAGTGGAGGAGGATGAAACTGTATTGTACAGTGGAACACAGAAATTTCTAGTAGGAAAGGCCAGAGCCGGTTGCTGTAGTGCCAAACTGCAGAATGTTCATAATGAAGACCCTGTCTCTGAATGGTTCACCCCATGCAGCCTGTCGCCACTCTGTGAAATGTGGCTACTGCCACCAAGGAACTTGCTTAATGGTAATAGATTTCACTGAGACACACCTATGATCACAGGTCATTTGCACACAGCGACTGCTGTGCACACCAAGGCCCCAGAACCTCACTCTGAATCCGGCAGAGGGCTTCCCCTTTCTCACAGGGACTTCCTGTCTTGCAGACACCCATGCCCTCGTGAGCCTGCTTCAGAATCTGAACAAGGCCAACTACAACCTGCCCATCATGGTGACAGATTCAGGGAAGCCACCCATGACGAACATCACAGACCTCAGGGTGCAGGTGTGCTCTTGCAAGAACTCCAAAGTGGACTGCAACGCGGCGGGGACGCTGCGCCTCAGCCTCAGCTTGCTGCTGCTCTTCTCGCTCCTCAGCTTATCGGGTAAGTCCACTTGACCCCAGCATGCTTGCGTGTGTGCCCAAGAACTTCACCACTCAGGCCTGTCTCTTCCATTCATCTTCCCAAGATAGTCTGTCCCCCACGCCTTTAGCTGATGTCCGTATGGTTGAAACTCTCGCGTGTAAACATGTTCCAGCCAGTGTTTGACAGCATCTGGATGGTCTCCTGTCAGCCGAAGGAGACACTGAAAGAGGCTCTGCTATTTTGCAAACCAGTCAAGAAGCAAAACTTCCCAGAGATGCTACTTGCCTGGAATTTATTAAAAAAAAAAAAAAAGCATCAATATTTGTCTAACTGGCCTTCCACAGGTCACACCTGCCTGTTCTGCTTTGGATTCGAAATGTCCTGCACTGGCTCATGTGGTTGAGCCTTTGGTCCCCAGCTGTTGGCACTGTTTGGGGAGGTGGCACCTATCTGACAGAAATGAGTTGCCGGGGAGGGGGACTGACCTTGGGGTTATACCCTGTCCCTGCACCCAGCAAGAGCTCTCTGCTTCCTGGTTGACCCCTTGTAACAGTGCCTCATGGTGCTGTGGCCTCAGGATGAGGCCTCAGTCATTCCTTCCCTGATAGACTATATCTCCTGAACTGTGAGAAAAAAATAAAAAAGCCCCCTCCTTCCCTAGTGAGGAGAAAGGTAATTGTCAGGGAAGAAAGATGAAAGTTGGGCTAGAGGGAAATATATATTTTGGCCAAGTATGATGGCATTTAATCCCTTACTTGACCCAAACCCATCAAACAAGGTTTGAATGGTTTGAATGAGGTGTTGAGGGGGAGGACCAGGAATGAGAACTAGAGAAAACCAAAGGTGGGACCAAGAGATTGCTTATGCCAAGCACATATTTTAAGTACAGAATCTTAGATGCTATTTGTAGGAGAAGAAAGTCAAGGTCCGCAGAGAGCTAAATCAAACAATGCTGGCAAAGAGAACACAGGATACCTCAGACACAGCGGCCTTAGGACTGATAAATATAGCCCTTTAGAGGAGAAAGACAAGTTCCCAGGAACGGAAATCTTAACTCCTTTGAGGCCCCAGCCCCAGCCCCAGACTGGACCTTACCAAGTCTGCAAAGACAGAGAACTAGTATTCCCTTTCTTCTTCTATCAGGGCCTCTGAGAAAGCCTTGGACCTATATGACTCCCAGTATTTCATGAATTTAATGATGGTGTCTGTCCTTTAATCCCAGCACTCAGAAGGAAAGAGGCAGACAGATCTCTGTGAATTCCAGGCCAGCCAGGGCTGAGACTCTGCTTCCAAAAAAATAGGAAGGAAGGAAGAAAACAGTATTTATAACTCATGCTTCTGTTCAGTGACTAGTAATAGCTATGACACAGTGAGAGTAAAAGAATTACTAGGCCAATGTCTTAGTTACAGTTTTATTGCTAGGAACAGACACCATGACCACAGCAACTCTTATAAAAGAAAACATTTAATTGGGTCTAGCTTACTGTTCAGAGGTTTAGTCTATTATTCTGGCAGAAAATGTGGCAGCACACAGGCAGAGAAAGAACTGAAAGTTCTACATCTTGATCTGTAGGCAGTAGAAGGGGACAGTGTGGCATACTAGGCCTAACTTGAGCATATATGAGACCTCGAGCCCACCTCCACAGTGATGCACTTCCTCCAACAAGGACACACCTCCTAATAGTGCCACTCCTTATGTATGGGCCAAGTATTTAAACACATGGGTCTATGGGGACCAAACCTCTTCAAACCACCACAGCTGAGTAACATAAATGAGAGAATGAAGTGAACGTGTGTTGCCAGGCTTTCCTGTGTGAGGAATGTTAGTCCAGTTTTAACCTTGGCAGTTGTTCACATCAGCTTCTGCCACCCAAAAGGCTCTGGGGTCCTGGCATTTGAATTTTGAGAAATTTATTGGTGTGTAGAATGAAATACTGATAGAGGGAACACAGTGAATTACATCTTGATGGGAGGGTGGGCAGGCCAATAGGAGTCACACATTTCAACACCCGACATTAGCAGTGTGTGAAGCTGTGTGTGGAACCAGAGTTCTGTGGGCAGAGCTAAGGAGGAAAATCCTGATGGTGTGTCACTGACTGCATCTTCCAAACAGACATGTCATCACCCCTCCTCTTACCCACCTCTGATGTCACCATCCCCACCATCCCCAATCCTCAAGTCCTCCAGCTCCATCCCTGTCCCTCACCCTTAACTTACTCCTTCTGTCTTCACGTGCCACCTCGATGAATTCATTGTCTTCCTAACCCCATGCGCATATGAGAGTTTGAAGGAGAGATGGCTGCTCTCCTAAATTGTCTCTGTCAATTAACAGAGTTAGATAAAGGGCTGAGGGTGGTACTAGAGACAGATGGAGAAGTTAGAAAAGACTCTAAGAATTCATCAGGTTTCATATGAGATGGGACACCAGAAAGCAAGGACAGTGGGGAGCAGATCAGCTACCATGAGTGGACAGTGAAGGGACACACCTAAGAGTCCCTTACTTTGCTGGCAGAATCTTAGCCCTGATTCTGGGGATCTGAATAATCTCCCATGTGAGCAGACATACCCTGGTGCCCGTATACAGGCGGCTGATTTGCTAATGGTTACCATTAGCCTGCAGGTCATCCTTGTATAGTAACAGCTGCGGAGAAGGGGTGGATCTCACACCATCTGCAGGCAGAACATCAACACAACTTTTAATATGTCTCTACCCCCGACCCTTCTCCATTTGAAACCCAACACTGGAGGTGTGGCTCAGAAATCTCCTCACATCAAAGCTCATGGCGTGGCAGATAATAAAGGCACAGTGGAAGTCAGGGCCGCCGGGGTGAGTGGGCTGCCTTAGCACAGAGAGTCCTGGGCTTCCTGACAATCCTTGTTCCATCCACACTGTGGCCCTGTGCTGTCTGCCTGGGTTGATTCTTCAGCAAGACGTGGGAAGCCGGAAGTGAATCTCAGATTACCTGTGTGAAGGTATCTATGCTGATGATGCTATGGAAGTTCAAGTAACACAACCACAAGGAAGGTTCTTAAGGCAAAATACCCTTCCTAAAGGGTATTTGAGAAGTCTACAGGATTAAAGCATGGGTAAAACAGGAAGCTCAAGTAGACATCACCAAAAACAGAAATCAAAGAGCAAGAGTTCAAGACACTAAATTTGGCAAGATTTAGGGGTTAGAGGCATTTCCCAAAAGTGTGACATTAGAGCCTCAGTCATGAGACTTGAAAGCATTTGGGGAGAGGGGAAGGAAGTTGGCAGGATCTGCTTTATGTCTTAGGGCTTGCCTAGCAAAGGTGCTCGTCACCAAGCCTGACAAGCTGACCTGAATCCTCAAGACCCACATAGTGGGGAGGAGAGAATCGGTTCCAGCAAGCTGTCCTCTAACCTCCACAGCTGCATGTGTACATGTTCATACACACACACACACACACACACACACACACACACACACTAAATAAATAAATAAATAAATAAATAAATAAATAAATAAATAAATAAATTATAAAATGTAAGCATGAATTCAAACTATAGTATAGGAGCCACATCTGGCCCGCTACCAGTGTGTATTAATAAAGTGTTATTAGTGTACAACTTCATCCACTTATTCGCATGCTGTCTGTAGCTGCTTGCTATTACAATGGCAAGGGCGAATATTTTCACAGTGACTGCCTGGTCTACAAAGCTGAGACCATCTACAGCCTGGCTTCTGACAGAATGAGCCCATCAACACCTGCACGAGAGCATCATCCATCAGACATCAGCAGTTGTAGGAGACGCTGATACCAGCCGGCACACGAAGCAAACTTGAGTTCTCCTCCCTTCAAACAATATTCAGGACCACATGACCTGGCATCAGCGCTCTGATGTTCGCAAAGCTTATTTTCCTGTGCGCCTCACAGGCCTGATGATTTTATTCTGCTCTATAGAGGAGGAAACTGTGCTCGCCCCCGGGTTTGTCAACAGGGAAGCCAGCCTTGGCCAAAGGACTGCCTCCTTTACGGAAGTAGATGCCACACATTTGCACTTGTTGTAGTTCAGGTGGCCTTCTCCAATGGCTGAGAACTGGCTGGAAGGCCCTGCACAGTCTTCTCTGGCATCTTCTCCAAAGGGAAAATCAAACTAGTAGCATGGAGAGTGCTTTAAAACTGTGAGTGGGATTACCATCACCGTCCTTTGTGCCACCCGAGCAAATCTCGGAGAAGAGATCTAAAGGAAGTGACTTACTCAGAACCCTTTTTGGCTGTGACTTTAGACTTAGTTCACCAAAAATGGCAAGAACATGGTCTGAGGGTTAGGTGAAGACTGTAACTAGTTCCAAAATTAAATGACCCCATGCTTTGAGGAGTCAGGCAGCGAGTTAAGAACAGCCTCTGTCCCTGGAGAGAAGGTGGGGGCAGGGAGGACGGCTAAGTCAGCAAAGTACTCACTTTGAAAGCAGGAGGTCATGAGTTTGATCCCCAGAACTCACATAAAAAAGCTGGGAAGAGCAGCTGTCACACACCTGTGCTGGGCAGAGGAGATGGGAGGATCCCTGGGGCTCAAAGGGCAGTCAGTCTAGACCACATGGCAAGTCCTAGGCCAGTAGAGACCCGGTCTCAAAGAGCAAGCTCGGCAATGTCTGAGGAATGGCACCCGGGGCTGTTCTCTGGCCTCCACACACACAGAACTCATGTAACTCTGAAGAAGGCTGGAGAGGCGGAGCAGTGGCTCAGAGTGTTCACTGTTCCATTAGAGCATAGAGCTGGCTTCCCAGCTTCCTCGTCAGGCAATTCACAACTGCCTGTAAATCCTGCTCTAAGGAATTCGCTCTCCTTCCAGCATCAATGAGTGCACACACTCGCACACACATCACACACACACATGCACAAGCACGCATGAACGCACGCACGCACACTAAAATCAAATATTTTTCTTAGAAAAAGAACTATTTCACTTTTAGAAAGTTGAGAGATGAGCCGAAGACAGTCATTTGTCTTGTTTTTTTTTTTTTCTATTTAATCTCTATTAAGGTGTTATTTGCATTTTGTGTTTTTTTTTGTTGTTGTT